CTCTTATATCAACTGCAATAAGCATACAAAGAGAAATATCTCTAAACTCTCTTCCCCCTTTTTGTCATTTCAAAAGAAAGAAAGATCAATACAAGGTATAAGACAAAATGCTTAATACCAATAATATCAATAGTATTTTGAATGCATGTAATCAAGTGTAATATGCACAATAAAGTTCACATACATATATTCAAGCACAAAAGTATAAATGTATCCAAATTTGGCATTTTAGCACAAGTCATCAAATTTACTACATGAAATTTATGAGCAAAGGATAATGAATGATATGCAATCTACTCATAAATCATGTTATCATAAGATGTGCTTAGAATCTAAAACATCAATAGCAATTAAATATAAATTCAAGCACATGTATACAAGCTCATACAAATTGTTATGGATATTAATTGTTAAAGATATGTCATCAAGAAGCATACCAATTGTTATCACAAAACAAATCAAGCAAAATTGTATTATAAGATTTTTTCTCATTTTCAAAATAAAGATTAATCAATATAAGACACATATAATTTTGCATGAAAGGTACAAGCTATATCAAGGATAGGCACATAAACAAGTGTCTATAAAAGTTAAAAAATTCTTTAGTAAATTTGATACCAATTGTTAGCAATTTATTCAACTTTAATAGAATAAACATACTTTAAGCATATGAAAGATTCATTCAATACATGCATAAATGATAACAATAATCTTTCATAAGCTATCCTATCCAAACAAGAACTAAAAGCTCATATGTATATAATAAATCATAAGTACTAATAAGCAATGGGGTTCAATTATCATCATGTCATAACAAAAATTATATATAAGCATGATTTTCCAAACATGATAAGCACATACGCTATAGCAAAGAAATAATGAAATCATAATTGTTCAATTATAATCCAAATTATTTCAATGCATAACAATGTACTTAATCTAAGCATATGCAAGTAATCAAACATATATTTATTTCAAACAAATCATACAAGCATATGCAAGAACATTTCAAAACATATATAGTAATATACCAAAAAAAATTCAAACCTTTAGACATAATATGGTACATGCTATCTCAATAATCTCAATCAATGAACATGTATATAAATTTCAAATTTATAATTCATAATCTATGAGTCATATCAATTTAAAAATTAAAAAATCAACATGGCTAACTCATAGTCATGTTCAAACATTCAAACAAATATTCATGCTATAAAAAAAAAAACTATTAATCAAAGTATTCAACAACTAGCCATGAATATTAATGAAGGTGAGTTTGTCAATCCAAGCCTTAAAAAAAAATTAGAACAATATCTACCAAGTGGCTTGGTAATTAATTTATGCAATGTGTTTATATATTCAACCACAAAATCATATATTTGCACATATTAAAATAAGCATATATATGTATTCAAACTCATATATCATATCATAAAGTTGATACATTTACCTCCATCTATGTCAAGCTTTGCTGTTGTGCTCATTTGGCTTTGAATTTCCAATCCACTTCATTTGAGCAAAACTAGGCTTAATTGATGAGAATGACATGCTTTGCTTGCTATACTTGAAATTTAAAAAATGTAGGCTTATTCATACTCATTTCAAGTTCTCCTAGCATAGACTTAGAAAAATTTATTGATAAAGGATTTTCATTAGAAGCACCAAGAAAACCAGTTGATAAAAATTATACCAATTGTTAGAAAACAATTCCATATTCTAAGTCATTATAGGCAAAGAAAAATTTATTCACTAAGCATAAGTTGCCAATTGCAAGGGAGACATATACTTAAGCTAAAGGCCATATATCATGTTAAGTATCAAATATCACAATATTGGCACTAAAGCTAAAGTTCTCATATAATGTGTAAAATATGAATCCTTTCTAGATTATTTAAAAATATTGAACACAAAGAAGACATATTCAATATTCATATATATTCAATAAATCACCAAAAAATATGCCAAAATAAATTTTAGGCCATATCAAAACAAAAAACTCAATGAAGAAATATTTATCATCAAAAACATATTCAAAAATTTTTTTAGCATAAAAGCATAAATATGTCTACACAAATTGTAGGCCATAATCAATAATGACTTAAGCTAAAAATAAGCATCATAAGAAATTCATTCACTTAAGTCATGTTGCAAGCATGTCAAGTCAAGGAAAATCACATTTATCATATATGCATACACTTGACAAGAATAATAGATGAAATAATAATACATATCATTTACAAGTAAGTAGTTTATCATATTTAAAATCACAAATAAAAAATATATCAATTGAGCACAAGATCTAAAATATTTCACAAAATTAATGAATCAATTTAGCACAAGAACAAGTATATTAAAAATATTTTAAAAATCAAGAGATAAAAAATTTAAGTATTTTCAAATCATAAGCATTAAGGTCAAGTTAAACCAATCATCATATGAGCACATGTTTTGGCCAAAAACATAGATGAAATAAAAAATCAATATATACCACTTAAGCATAAGGTGTTCATCAATTCACAAATCAAGAGTTATAACAATTTAAAAATAAAATAATCAAGTTTTAACAATATTTCACAAGATTCAAGCATTATAAACAAGTTAGGCAATTTTAAACACTATGGTCATATAAACATGGTTAACAATCATAAATTAATAAAAAATTTATCAACAAAAGTATGCTTAAGCTATTTAACACCACAAACAATTTCAACAAGTATCTCAAACATACTTAAGAGCAAAATAAATGCATATTGAATGCAAGTTCACATTTTCTCAAGATTATGCAACATATGTCTTGTAATCAATGTTAACCAAATTTTGCATAATCAATTAAGCATTCAAATTTCATCAAAAATAGGTAACCAAATTCAAATTCTCTTTAAATAAAAATTTAGAGATTACCTATCTCTATTGTGCGTCTAGAGTATTCAATCTTCATTCTCACATTGTGGCTCTTTGTTCTAGTCCACTTACAAGAGACAATCTCATTTGATTTTTGATACCTAAATTGCTTTGGTTCCTTGAGAGTTAGTCACCGGGTCTCTTGTTCCTTTTGAAACTCATACTTGCCTAATTCTAAATGAAACTTTTCTTCAATAGGACAAGTATGTGTAGTATGACCATAAAAATTAAAAACCTATATTTAATCATTTTAGTACTAAATGAATTCTTTAAAAGATTTTGTTTTTCATTCATCAAATCATCAAATTTCTTTTTCAAATCAAAATTTTCTTTTTCTAAAATTTTATACTTAATTTGAGAGGTTTTAAATCTATTTTCAATTTTCTTATTTTGTTTTTCCAAATCATTCTTTGTACTCATTAAAAATTTATTTTTAACTTTTAATTTTGAAATCATTTTCTTATGTTTCAAATACATATTTTTAAATTTAATTACTAAATCATTGTAAGCATCTTGAAACTCATCAAAAGTATAAGAGTTTGAATCATAAGAGTTAGAGGTTACCTTTGGTTCTTCAATAACCATGAGACATGATGCATGTTGGTTGAAAATTTATCTTTCATATAGCTTATCCAACTTTCTCCATATCTTATTTGAGGTTGAGTATTTTGAGACCAAGTTGAAGTTGTCTAAAGCTCCATAGAGAATACACTTGACCTTTGCATCATCTATTTTTTACCTCATGTAGTTTGCATAATTTGAAAGAGTTTCAAGCCCTTTTTCAATCACATTCTAAGCTCTAAAACCTTGGGTCATAATGAACATCTTCATCCTCTTTCTCCATTCGTAAAATTTAAATTTATCAATCATAGGAGCTTTGAGGACTTCCTCACCATCTTGAAACCAAAATTGAGCCATAGGATCTTTACTCAATGTGGTTAAACCTACAAAAAGAGACCAAAGCTCTAATACTAATTGTTAGCTTTATAGGTTAGATGGTGATCTAAGAGGGGGATGAATTGAATTTCTCCAAATTCTTCTCAAACAAATGATTTCAATATAGTTGAATGTAAATTAAAATAATAAGCACTTTTGATGAAAATATAATGCAAACAATAACAATTAATGAATCTAAAATCAACTATAAACAACAATAAATTGTAAGGAGATAGGGATAGAGAAATCAAATACAATGATTTATAGAGGCTCGGTCCTTCTCTACAAGGCACCTACGTCCTCTTTTCTTGGTTATCGACACCAAGGCTTCAATCCACTATTTTTGAATTAAAAATAAAACCTATATTTTTCTTTCTAAGGCTTAAGATAAAAACTTCTACCTTTTGTAGTATTTTACCCAATCTCACTACAAAGCTCTCAAGATAATACCTCACTTCTTGTTCTCTTCCACCTTTGTATATCAAAGATAATTTTACAAACAATAAAACAACCTCTCTAAGATTAAGTGTTTGTTAAGTTTAAGTATAAAAAAATGGTGAATGATCAACAAATAAAAATTGGATATAATAAATACAAAGATATAGACTTTAAAGCTCTAAAAACTTTTGATTCTTTAAGAGAATAAAAATGTGACTTATTGGCTCTTGCTCTCTTGATTCATCAATCTTATCGATCTCTTTTCTAGATTTTAGGTCCTGAGAGCATTTTGTTTGAAAACTAATTGATCCCTTCTAGAGGGGATCGATCCTATCCATGTTGGGTGGTAGTTTCTCGTTTTGCACTCTGCTTACTAATTTGATCATAACTTGAGTTATACAAATCCAAATCACAAACCGTTGAAAGATTTAAAAACTAGACTTAAAGAGATTTCTATTCATATAAAATTCATCACCTAATTTACTATGTACGAATTATAGTAAATTTTTAAAGTTACCTCTTGTGTAATTTTTTGACAATTTGGAATGAAGTTGCTTATACATGAGAGGAATAATTTGACTTCAATTTATTATAAGAAAATGAAAATTGTATTCCTAAAAGAACAGGAAAATAGTAAGCACTAAAACGCCGCGTTTTTTTGAACCTAAAAGATGTGGGCCTTGGCCACGGTTGATGACCAACTAGGGCTGAACCCACGGGCATCAAAAGGCAACTGGGACAGCGATACTCCAAGGAAAGCCCAGCCCACGCGAAAAATCTACCCGGCGTTCCTCTGCGTGGTTCAACAATCGAAGACTTCACTGCCACAGCTCTAGGGCTTTCTCCATTTCTCCGCCCAAAAGAATCGCAAAACTTCGATCATCAAGGCCAATTAAAATGGTTGGTAAGTCAAATTTCCACCAAAATTTCGTTTCAACTGATCTCTTTGCTTCCACTGCTAATCAACTATTCTATTTTTTTTTTTTAAATTTGCAATGGCTTGCTTAGGGCCGCAATCTGAGAGAGAAGAGAAAGTATCGTTGGAACTCACGGAAGAAATCCTTCAAAGCATGGAAATCGGCATGGTTTTTAAGGATTATGTAAATTCCAACTCCTAATTTATTCTTTATTTTCAATTGTTAGCTTAAAAAACATTTTTTAAATGGTTTTTTTCTTCTTCAATTATTTTTAACAGAGCGGTAGAATCAGTTCAATGGATATTCATAGAACATCGAATTATTTAGTAACTGCTAGTGAAGATGAATCCATCCGCCTTTATGATGTTTCCAGTGCCACGTAAGCAAAATTTCGAAGTATTTTATTAAACTTGATGATTTTTCTTGCTTGGTTAATTTGAAAATGAATTTTCTTTGGTTGAGTTTATCATAATCTTAACCTTAAAACCTAAACCTCAATTAATATTGCTTCAATTGAACTTTTTCAGATGTTTGAAAACAATTAATAGCAAAAAGTATGGGGTTGATCTAGTTTGCTTTACTTCGCATCCAACAACAGTTATTTACTCTTCAAAGAATGGTTGGGATGGTGTGTTATCATTGTGACTATCTGTATGTGTTTTTGTTTGGTGTTATTTTCGTTTTTTTATTGATGGGTGGAGTTTCATTGTTTTAGAATCATTGCGACTTCTCTCATTGCACGATAACAAGTACTTGCGGTATTTTAAAGGTCACCATGACAGGTTTGGTCTCTGATACCAAGTAAGTGCGTGCACCCAAAAAATATCTGTAATTAGGATTTGACGTAATGACATTTGTTGTTGTTTTTTTTTTGTTTTCTTAGAGTCGTTTCACTTAGCCTATGCTCACGAAATGAATGTTTCATCTCTGGTTCCCTTGATCGAACTGTTCTGCTTTGGGATCAACGCGCAGAGAAATGTCAGGTGAGTAGGATATTTAGATTGATATTTAGATATGCTTTTGTTTCCTCTGAATTTTCTAATTTATTGTTTGTATTTTAGGGTCTTTTACGGGTGCAAGGCAGGCCTGCCATATCTTATGATGATCAAGGGCTAGTCTTTGCTATTGCCTTTGGAGGATACATCAGAATGTTTGATGCTCGCAAGTATGAAAAGGTTCACAAATTCATATAAGATAACATTAAGGGTTTAGCTGTTTCATTGATGGTCTCTTTTTTATTTTGGAAGAAAAGGCAATTAATGAATTGGGAACTTTGAATGTGTTTAGGGTCCTTTTGAAATCTTTTCTGTTGGGGGGGATCTATCTAATGCTAATGTTGTAAAGTTCAGCAACGATGGACGACTCATGCTTTTGACAACTATGGATGGACATATTCATGTGCTTGATTCATTTCGTGGCACACTTGTGAGTAATCAAACGGTTAAATACTTTTCATGTGAAATTTTCAATGTTCTATTTATGCTTGTTGAGATTCTTTTTCTTTTATTGTTGTTTTTAGTTATCTACATACAATGTGAAGCCAGTTTCTAGCAATTGCACATTAGAGGCATCTTTCAGCCCTGAGGGAATGTTTGTTATATCAGGTATTCAATATCGAAATATCTGACAATTTATATTAAAAAAAAATTCACCAGTTATAGCAACCTAAAATAGTTTATCATCTTCATCTTCCTTGTTTGATAGTATATTATAACATACTTATCGTGTTTTGAAGTTTTGGGCGAGATAGTTGTGGATGATTCTGTGAAAGTATCTGAGTTTCTTGGTTTCCGACTTGCAGGTTCAGGTGATGGTCGTGCATATGCTTGGAGTGTAAGGAGTGGTAAAGAAGTATGATTCCTTACTCCCCCAGTCACTTCTGTCTCTGTCACTCTTCATATTATTTACTTAACCTGGTATATATCAGCCGAGTTGTGGGCATACTTCCCTAATCACTGTTTAGGTTATTCTTTGGAGTTCCATTCAATTTGGAAGATTATACCAATAATTAGAAAGTATTCAAGGCATTTTCAATGGTTCCTAGTAATTCTAAGACAAATAATGCTTTTCCTTTGTTATTTGCTTTGAAAATTTGTTAGTCCTCAACCTTCCCTCTAACAGCCCCAAGGAAAACAAGAATTTGGAAACATAAAATACAGTAAAGTTACTGCTTGATTGCTGACCATTAATAGTTCTAATATCATATATTATTTTCTTTTATATTTGAGTATATACCTCACCCACTTTAAAATATTTCCTTCCTTCAACATTTAAGTTCTCTAAATGGTAATATTGTTCTATTCTAATAGTTATTCTCTTCTCTCCAGGTTGCAAGTTGGATGATGAATAGTGAACCTTCTGTCTTAAATTGGAATTGGATGAGCACTGATACTGAGCCTCCTGTTATTAAGTGGGCTCCTGGGAGTCTTATGTTTGTAACTGGGTCTACCGAGCTATCATTTTGGATTCCAGATCTGTCTAAATTGGCAGCATATGTTGGAAGGAAGTAGTGCTCTAATTGTCCCATGCCTATAATTTCAAGCAGCATTTGTAAGGTTCATCACTTTTACTGATAGAAGATTTGGTGCAGATGGTCCTATCTCTGTTGCTTTAGTTTCATACATCTGTTAAATCATTTAACAGACAGGGATCTTTGTTTAACTGACTCACTAGCAAGGCAACTGTGCCCTGTTTATACAACTTAGTCTTACTGGTCCATGAAACTATTTGTTGAGAGCTGTTTTGTTGATGTTCCAGTGCTAACTTTCCTGAATCTTGTTACTGCATTGGAAAAGTATACGAATGAGAACAACTTGTAATTTAGGTATAAATTTTCAACATATGTTGTGAATTGTGTAAATGATTAAGACCATGTAGAGCTGTTTGTCTTGTTGGTCAACCTGCATGTTAATCTTTGAAGTTTAGTAGGTAGGTTTCCTGTAGTTTATTGCTATCTTTCATTGTTCGGCCGTTTTTTCTTCCTGCTCTTCCACTCCATGTTAATAGTTAATTACTGTTCTTATTTTGAGACATGGGACCTGACTATGGAGTTATTTCAGAAGGCAGAGAAATGCATGATGGATTTGACAGAGATATGAATTCAAAACAATTTATGTAAAAAAGCATGGAACCCTTTGGAGAAACTTCAAATAGAGAATTTTGTACCAAAAATGGTAAGAAAACAAACTAGAGATGGAGCCATTGGATCGCTTATACAAAAACAGGCTGAAAAGCTTAATGCTAGTCGTGACTCGGTCATACTGGTAACGGACGTTACGTACTTGGGAGCCTCAAAAAGTTTTAAAGATCTTCTTGGATCTACAGCTAAATCTCTATATATCTATCAACCAGGTGCTGAAGCATTGTCTATAGTTTCCTCATTTCAGTCTGCTCTGTGTCTTCATTTCTCCTTGAGTCTAACCTTCAATGCCCTAAAAGTCTTCATCTCTCATTAAGTCTGAAAATATGTCAAACCAAATAAAGGAAACATGCATCCACCCGAAATCTTGCCGGTAGGGACCCTTTCTCAATTAGAGAAGGCTGTTTCCCTTGATATTGGGCCTGTAACAGACTCAAGAAAATTAAGTAAACATTAAGAAATTAACATATTTGAGAAGTTGAAATATCTATATGCCTGCATGACCGCATTTGATTTTTAACATCCAAACAAATGCCATGGGTCACGGTTCGCATGTTCATTATATTGAAATCACGGCGACACTAAAATTACATATAATTGAGGTTAGTCTTTTTTTGAGTCAATTTTCTCATGAGCAATTCGTTGGTGATCCTTTAAACCGTATACATATGAGCCCTCCTTTGCTCTAATACCATGGGGTCTCTCGCAATATTCCCAAACTTAATACGAAAGAACTCAACTCCCATCACCACCATCAGCACACAAGTTCCAGGGTGATCCCAAACACCCATCCATGCCCACAAGCACTAAGATCCCGAGTACTGACCCTTATTGAATTCACATAAGGGCATGCGACCCCGATTCTTATGATGGTATCTCCATTTAGCATGCTGAGAACCTAACACCATGTTGGCACGGACCATTCACAAGCTCTCGTACCTGAAACTCTGTGGCACAACACAAATGCTAGTTGACAGTCAACCTAGAGCCACTTTAGGCTATTCTCATTCCCACGAAGTTCATATCTTGGGGCCTCGCCCCTTAACTTGACTTTAAGTTACCCGCACACATGATGGACACCCACCATCATGCCTGTCTCTCATCTCGAGTTACTTAGATGTGCTACACTAGCTGCAGCACACTTCTATTGAGTGGCCACAAGGATCTAGTAGCATACCTACCTGCTAGCACATTCATCCATCAAGCTCGATGGTGCCCCTTTTGCCCAAATACCATTTCATGATCTTTGGTTACTTATCGATCTGACTCAAAGAAGAAAAATAGAGGGACATAACGAAAGCTACTATCTAATCCCACGGTTTAATGCAAAAGTGCTATACAAGACCCATCGGCCCTAACCATTCTCCGATTTACTATGATCTAAGGAGACCGTGTCACATTCGTTTGACAATGCCTTGTCCTTTCCCTCATTCCGGATAAATAGATGAAACAAAAAAATACTATAACCCAAACTCCTTAGTCCTAAGGCTTATCAGTATCAACCCCTTTAAGGTCCCACCTCAATCTCTGCCGTGGAAAACCCTTTGCCACTGGCTAGTTAAGCACTGGTATAAGTTGTTCAAGTTCTTTTTTTTTTGTCGAATTGATTGTTCGAACCATCTTCAGTCCTGCAGTCCTGCTTGAAAATGACTGGATCATTAATACTGTCATTAAGTCATTGAAGGTGACAGAAAACCATATCCTTGCAATTTGCATAGAAAGGTAATGTTTCTCTGTTGATAAAACTAATGTTTCATAAGCTTTAACTTTCTCTAACAGGAGAATAAATTTCGTTAACTGAGTGTCATATTCCATCTATTCTTTTCTTAACCCTTCCTTGTATGTTTAGCTTATCATTATCATGGAATATTCTTGGCAATAACACAGAAAAGTTACGATGTTTACGCGTCAATTTAGTTCTTTGCATGACACATGTCAAGTTCGGGACAACTTTGTACATAAAAAACAAAGGACAAACCGATAGTTGCACCATATTACAGCCATAACTACTAGCTAATTGAGAAGACGGTAGACATCATAATAACATGATTAATACTGGGATGAACAAAGATGGAAGGTAATATTCATCAGATAAAATCCTGTGATCTGCCTGCAGATGAGTCGAGGCTGAGCTCAAGTGACGCACGAGAACCAGTGTAACCATCATAAGACGTATACCAGCTAGAGTAGGAGCTGTCTGTTTCGGGCTTGATATTGCTGCAAAACGTATTAATGTCTTCACCGTGCATAGGAAAGAGAGGGAGGGTTTCAATTTGTGGAGCAGCAGCTTCTTCTTCTTCATCATCTTCGTGTTCCTCTTCGAGGATTCCATCAATGAATTTTTTCTGGTCAAAGAAAGTGTAAGATGAAGAATATGCAGGATCGATGCCAACCCATCCAAAGTTGTGACTCAAGGATTCATTTGCACCTGTACTGCTACCACATGCTGATATTGAGCAATCCTGGTCACAGTAGTTGAGAGTCAGAAAGGAGTAAATGTAGAGTTGGAACTATTCCGAGTATTCTATATACTATATTGTGCCCTTTACTAAGGTTGAGAGATATTGTATTGTATGGGTCCCCTTCTTCTGTATTGGGCTTGAAAGGGAAAATTATTTTTGCTTCAAGAAAAAACTTCCATCTGTTTGGCCTTTTTAGAAAGGAAACCAAAGGGGTTCTTTCCTTTTATAGATGTTTCAAGGGATCGTGGAATAACATTATTTAGTAATATTTCTTTAGCTACTTTTCTAATTTTACAGCAGATATATTGCAACAACTGTTAAATTCCTTTGCAACTTATTTAACTTCTTACTGTTTTTAACAGTTTTTCAAACTTATCATGACTAGAATGTAATTTTTGTGAAAAAATTAAACCTTCAGGTAGCTCTTTCATTTTTCCTTTTTCCTGAAACTTCAGGATAGCTCTTTCAAGGCACAAAGTTACTGTATCTCCAACAATTTTATCATCATCACTTACCCTAAAACTCTTCTCCATGGTTATAGACTCATAGCCATAGTTTCCTATCTGCCCAACAGTAAGCACACCAGTTGAAGGAGACGAAGGAGAATAACCTGCACAAAATCACAAAAGTCCATTTGAAAAAAAACTCCCTAGCTATCCTTTGAAAAACAAACAGACACCCATAATAATATAAACAAGTAAAACGAAGCTATGTACGATTAAAAAAGTCTTAGAAATTGAAAAACAAAAAAGGAAAAGGAAAGGGAAAGAGAAAAGAGAAAACAACCAGGATTTATGTTGGGATACTTGTTATTATGGATGGAATCAGCTTTCCAGCCACCATTTGCAGGTCTTTGCATGGGGACATGATTAGTTGTGGTAAACCTTTTCTTCTGCCTCTCACGAGCCTTGTGGTTCTGAAACCAATAAAAAACATTCTTGCCTTCGATTTTTCCGTACTGTCTAAGTCCAGCAGAGATCCTCTGAATCTGATCTGCACTTGGGGACCTAACTCCATTGTTGTAGTAAAGGTCCTTTAATATTCTAATCTGGTGAGTGGTAGGAGTCCACCGAGAACTACTTTGCCTGCAAAGAAAGCTTCCTTTGCCACAGCCGCTACTATCTTCATTTGGTTGCTGTTGGTTCTGCTGTAGTTGGGGTTCCATGAAGCATTGGAAACGACAAGAAAACAAATAGAAGCAAACAAAGCTACCAAGTTAGAGAGAGAGGGAGAGAGAGAGAGAGAGAGAGAGATGTAAGTGTTAGTGTATGAAATGGAGAGAGCAAGGAATGGGATATAAAACGAGAGAGGGGACAGGCAGGCGCAGGGAGGGATGAGGAGAGGACATATCAGAGAAAATATCTGAGACAGGACTGAAGTTAGACAGGGCGATGTTCATAAAAAGGGTGGGAACAAAAGAGGCATAGAAAGGTGGATATCAGTGGAATTGCTGGGATGAAAAGGCATGACGAGGCATGGTATATATTGATTAAGCAGCCTTGATGAGAAGAGACAGAAAAGAGAGATATTAGGGAAAATATACGAGGCCTGAAATGATATATTGGATGGAAAAGAAAGAAAGAATGAAGAGAGGGGCCCTGAATGAACGAATAAATGCCATAATATTTGATTAATTTTTGTGTGTTGTGCGCTTTAGAGATATGGTCCTCTTTTTACCAGGCCCCGAAACCAGATTAGAAGATATTCTTGTACTATTACTTCTACTTATGTGAATAATGAGCAAACACTGTCAATGAATTCCAAGAAACAATGCTTTCTCTAGGATTCATTCAACAGAAGAGCACACATTAAACAAAGTACTTGTTCTATCTTTTCTTTTTTTTGTTCACAGTCAATCTTTTTTCTTTACTGATCATGTCACAATCTTCCATTAGTGTTTCTGTATTCCTTATAGTGCTTGATTACCCTATCCACCAGCTGATATGCATTTTAAGAATTTCAGGGATTTCGCTTCTCAATGTTGTACTTGAATTGAGAGCTCAGGAACTCGGGGGACCGCTCAGGTTCTATATGAATATGCTTTTAAGAATAAAAAAGTGATTGAAATCGGTTAAGATTTTTTTTTTTTGAAAAAAAATTTAAATTTAAATTTTATTGATGATTATTTATTAAGATAATAAATATATGATTTATAATAATTTATTTTAAAATATTTTATTTTGATATAAAATTAAATAATTTATCTATTTTAAATTTTTATCTCTTTAAAAAAAAATGCTGTTAAGAGGAATAGAGTTGGATACTAGGTCTAACAAGTACAGTCCTGACAATTGAATTTATCATATGACTAGCTTCCTTTTGCAGGAAAGAAGCAGCTTTCGCAAACGAGTTGTTTCTCAATCCTGAATGAGCAGTTTTTGAAACTATCAGTTCATGTTTCCAGTTTCTGCCTTATTTTCCTGGCATTGCTTTCCTAAATTTTGTGGTCGATGAAATACATGCATTTGCTTAGAACATTGCTAATTATTTCACAAAAATTTTGAAAAAAATCCCATACCAAGGTATAAATCATTCTGCAATAAGAAAATCATCACAGTAGAATTCAATTGTTACTACCCAAAGGTGTGAAGGAGAGAAATGCAAAATAATTTTGCTGTCAACACGGCTAGTCAGTCCTATAAGCTATAGGGATCACTTGCCACAAAAATATGTAAGTCGATAAGTGCAGTAGCATTAAAGAAGGGGATTGTAGATAACAGTTTCTTGAGATTTTGGGGCATTGGGGTAAGGCCACAGGTACTTCATCAGTTTTCCATTTTCGTTTGAGTATATATTCTTATCATGCCTTAATCATTTATACTATGACATTCACATGATGAATGGTTGATATATAAAAGGCCTTTTCACATTAGTTTTGAGGCAATCTCAAATTCTAAAAGATTATTAGACTACGTCTGTTATAGGATATCGGAGATCTAACATCCTACTTTCATGATTTTATTCTTTGTAAAAAAAAAAAAAATCTTGATAGGGTAGACTGTCGCTTATAAGTCATAGTTCAATTCTTGACTGTTAAGGATTCGAGATCCTTTCTCGTCAACAATTCTCTGCATGCACGAGTGGTTTACTTTTCTCCCTCCGGCATCCTCAGTTTAGAATTGGTGTAATTGACTTGGAAGATAAATCAAGAAGTAGTAATCTTCATATTTAGCTATTCAGCCCCCCATTTTGATCTTCTTTCACTTTCAAGATCCAACTGCATAGAAATAACATCTTTAATCACTTTTTGTTCCTTTCCAGCGACCTACTGAATTTCTTGTTGGCTCGTGTGTGTGCATGTGTATATGTGTGGTATAGACGCCCGAAAAGGCACCAGAGGGGAAGCAACAAAAATTTGTTGGAATTAGTGTTTCTTGTTCCTTACACTGGAACATTTGATTCAAAAGTCTGATAATTATAGCCTAAAAGAAAAACTTGACGCTTTCTAACTTTCTTATGGGTGGGGAAACAAAATCTTTTTTCCAGGATTTGCTTAATGGGAAATATTTAATCTCCTTGAATTCCTGTAACAGTTTTATTTCCTTCTTCTACAATTCAGACTGCTGCATCCTCTATCTCACTCTCTCTGTCCTTTCTTTCAACCTTTTCAGATTGTGTTATTTGTTCGATTTTGATCCTATCATCATGAGATTTCCCCTCCTTATCATGCAAATTTTTTTTTTTTGCATTGATTTTCTAGCTCTTCCCAAACACACACTCTCTGTTTGTTGGTATATTGTTTCTTAGCCAAATAATAGTGTAAATACTAGTTGAGTCTTGATAAATTTTTAGCTTTCACTTGCCAGTGAAACCCCGTTTTTTTTAATCTGTTTTCTCTTATCCAAAATCCCCGACTGATGCTGCTTACCTCATAAGAAGTGGCCTAGTAGTATGCAGCCGGCTGTGGTACACTGCCTTTTCTTTCGGGTAATCATCCCTTTTGCTGTTATTTTCTCCCCATATCTCCAAAGATACATTACAATATCATTCCATATCTCTTATCTCCCACCCATCTCTCTCTTCTAGCTTCTGCCTAGCAGTCCCATTTTCTTTTTTGCTTTCTGTCATTAATTCTAAAGAAAGTGACTGCCAACCGTAGAGTAAGGCAAACCCTAGCCGCAAGCTTTGCTTTTTTCTTTTTCCTTTTACCAATCTCTTTTTTAATCAATTTTATTTACCATATTCTTCTGAATGAAAGTAGTACTAAATGCATTTCAAGCTCAAACAAAACTTACTAAGAAGGAATAATAGGCACTGAAGTTTGATAAGAGACAGTGTCTTGATATCTACTTCTTCTAGGGTTCTAGTGTGGACCCAAATTTGATGCAATTAGGGTTTAAAGTATTTGGTTTGGTCCACAAATTTTTTATATCTAGTCTTACTAGTTGTATTTTGACTGAATCTCTACCACTATCAGGGCAAGTTAAAGTTTTGGTCTAAGTAAAATGTTTTTGAAATTGTTTACTTTGCCGTCAACGGCCTCGACTAACTGGCTCCTACTATTAGTAGAGTACATTATATAGATCAACACGTGGATGTGAGGGATCAATTCAAAAGTTGCTTTAAATGGTTCATAAATCTTATCTTTTTGCACTCTCAAGGCTCAAATGTGTGGATTATATGTCTTCTATTTCGTACTTCTGCTTTTTTTTAGCGTACTACTTTGGTCTTTGGTTCACTCGATCGGTCCGACAAACTATATATCTGCTCCAGATTTGTTCTTGGACAAATTATTTGTTGTACCTGCATGTCTGTCGTTCTACTTTGATTAAAAAAGCAATTATTCCCTATGTTCAAGCCATATTGAATTTGAATTGATTTGATGGCTGAAGGTAGCTAGCTAGCTCTGCACATACCCATCATGAGCCGAAATCTCAGAAGTAAAAGTAATTGAAATTTGAGTGCAAAAAAATGATGAACATATTTTATCATAAAAACTTCGAGTGATTTACTTAACAAATCGTTTTATAGAACCTCATGAAACATAACTCACTCAGTGGTAAAAGAAAAAGAGAGTACAGAATCTCATGTTCCTCAGTACTTAAAAGTACAACCAATGCTATTAACTGAAATCCATCAAAATTAAGCAAGCACCTCCACCCGTGTTAAGCCAACCATAGGGTCCGAAGCAGGAATCCAGTTGTGAACCCGATGCATGATTTTCAGAATGTGACATCAATACACGCCCTCCAAAGTTACAGGTATATGAATTTATTCAAGTATAAATCTTGTCTTGTCAACTGCCACAATGTATAATCCTAAAATCAAGCACGAGATTCTTCCCTAACAGCCTCTCTACGAGGGCTTTAAAATAATAATAATAAAGATTTTATACCTTCACAAACACTGAAATGCTTGATAACTTGAACAGAGAATCCTAATGTCCACAATTGACAGACATTCAGCAACTCATCAGCTGCTGCCCTGATTCATTGTGATACTTCTCTTATTTTGCAGGGACTCTTCGAGGCTCCAATTGCTCATTACTCTTGGTTAACCCTCTGGCCTCCTTTCTACCCCATCTTCTAAATGGTTGCCTTTTAACATGGTGATCAGATTTGGGAGAGTTTAATCTCTTTGGTTTCTCTGAATCATAAGACAATGGTTCAATTCCTTGCAAGTCAGATTCTGGAGCATATCCTGTTGGCCGTTTCAATTCATCCATTCTCCTAAATGTGATCGATATCCTAAGAAGAGAAGCAATAGAGCAGGAAATTAAATGAACAGAATTAAAGTACGTGCTTCACAGCAAACAATGAAGACATCATAATTTCAACTTGTACCTCTTTGTAGGAACTGCAGGCACACAATGTTTAGCAATGTCTGCTCCATTTCCATTTAAAACCAGAACTGATCTGAAAGGAGAAATAACTGAGTTTAAGTTTTAACTCAATTATTGTAAACTAAATAATAATTCCATGACTTGACAGAGGGGACCAGTTAGTGCATGAAAAGAATCTTACCCCACAGGTAGGGGAATCGCAATTGAACCAGAAAACTCGCCAGCCCCTACAACCTTCAAATTTGACCCGAAAACCATGTTGCACTCACTAAGAAATGACACAGTACAGAATGGTCTAACAAAATCATGGTTGTCAATGTGAGGAGGTATGCAGTCGCTTTCTTCATAAATATTAACAATACAACTGTCAGGCACACACGTTGAAGGAAGCACATGCCATCTGATCAGCCTTCTAATGATCACCTTGAAAAGATCAGGTATAGGATCTACAACTTCATTTTGAAGAATGCCAGGCGCGCTACCATTTTTGTCCTGCCACCAGAAGGTAAACGTAACAAAGCTTTTCAACCTCGAGTTACTGCTTCTTGTGACTACAGTGTCTTCAGGCACTTAACTAATCTTCAAAACAAAACAATGATATGGAAAAAACCTACCATTGCATAATTGTAACAGCAACCAAATTGGATGGTTACACGTCCTTTTCCCCTCATCCATTTTTGCGATGCTGTAAATGTGCGTTCTGTAGAATATATTCCACAATGAATATTATATGATATCCTTCAACTTCAATTACTTAAATGTGATGCATAATGTAAACATAATATTTTGAGAACTGTTAATCTGCAACTGCACAAGGACATATCTGCATGTTTGCATACAAGGATAGCAGAAAGATAAAAAAACTTGTTTCCAAAGACACAAACCATATTACTCTAATGCTCCATTCACTTTCTAAACCTACTGACTCTCTTTGCTGCATATATTTGGGTATGACATCCATTAAGAACTCACACGCTAGAAGACTATATAAATTGGATTTAGAATTATAATGATCTATGGATTTGAAACTTGCTTCTGGATAATCCACTGAACCACCAACTGCTTCCACCGAGGTCTAAAAAAGGTTTAGAGACAGACTTGCATATCTAAGTCTATTCAGTCTACTGAAAGCCATTAAAGACAGAAAAAGAGGAAGTGTAAAAAAAAATGGTAAATGGAATTATAACACAAAGAATTCGTTATCAGGAACAGGATTGAGTCAGCCACTCAGCTTCTTCTTTGCTTGACATACAAAAGAAAACTGAGATCCCCCATAAGGAATGTTTCGTAGAGATAACTGAATTAATTAAGTGAAGCCTATTTTTGTGGTCTAAGTTTTTAACTGAAAACAAACGTGCAATATTGCATAATAGGCAACAGAGCAGAGCACCGAAGAAAATACCAAGAGCATTTAAAGACTTGGAGGTTCTGTTCAGTTAATTCAACCACTTTGAGGGTATATTAAACTAAAGAATGCTGCATACCCATATATATGTGCTCCTTAAATGCTGTTATAGTAAGTTATTGATGCTAGCACATAACATGAAAAATGCTAATTTCCATCACTTTTTGTTCAGTTAAGCTACAATTTTTATTAAATAAAATTGCATGGATGTACCTATAACAAGGTCATCAAACATAAAAAAAGAACCCTAACAAGAGAAACTACTTGAACATTAAAAAAAAAAAAACATATGTACAAATCAAAATATATTGCATAAGCACACAACAATTAAACTGTACGAACAAGTTTGGCAATATGTAAATACTAACCTTTCAACTCTCCATTTCTCCCCATCTCCTCAAGCTTATAAACATGGTCAACTATCCTCTTCTGCTCTGCAGCACTGAAAATTCCCATGTGAAGTTCAAGACCCTCGAGAATATTTACAAACTTCCCTTTAACTCTTTCGAAACATATAAAATCTTTCTTCCTCTTCACATTCATAAACCTAATGCACTCTCTCTGATCCCTAGACAATTTAGGCTTCTCAACAACCTTGGATATCCTCAACTGCCCAGTGGAAGCAGTTAAATTAACAATTCGCTTCCTTGACTCTGACTGCCTTTGCTTTTCTTCTTCTACTTCATCAAGCTCATCTTCCTGTGCCATGTCTGCCCATGATAGACGAGGAACTGAGGTTTGAACCAAATGCGACCCACTGGCAACTCCACCACTAGTGGATGCTTCTTCAATGGGTTCAGACAACCCATTTGCCTCATCTTTCCAACTACCCAATGAGTTAGTATCTTCTTCATCTTTTGAACTTATGATCGAATTTGCGTCACAGTTATCATGATAATTCTCATTTATGTCGTGTGATTCTTTATTAAGGGGAGTAGAACGGGTTGCATTCAAATCTGTTTTGGCCAGCTCAACACCTCCTTCAAGTTCTACAATCCCAATATAAAACAGAAAATCTACTTAGGATATTGTACCTTTAAGGTCACTAGATAATGTAATATCTTCCCCAATGCACTGGAAATCATTAATAAAGTTCACAACTATTGCATTTAATACAAAATTATTACTATAAATAGTATATTAACTAACCTTAAAAGTGTAGCAAAATCCATCCTCCTATTAGCAAACACAAACAGTAAAATTCCTTTCCTTTTTCTTATACATATAAACCATCATTGCAGTATCTATGGCAAATTACTACAAAAATTCAAAGACTAATTCTTATTTCTAATTATTTACTTTAATCCCAGTTATAAAGGACAATTAGCAAAAAAAAGAACATCTTTTTCCAGACCAAAACAGAATCTAAACAAAGCCCACCTTTTCAGCCCAAAGTAAATATATGTATAATCCAAAGAAGAAAAAAAAAGAAAAGCTAATCGCAATCTAGAAATTTTAGAAGGGAATAACCCTTACTTTAAACTTAAGTAAAGCGTAGGCAACCAGAGAAACGGAGTTTTAACACTACAATGCTAAAAACGAGGGTACCTGGGTCGAGAGAACGGATTCGTCGGGAGAGGGTTTGGGTGCATCGGTGGCAGAGACCTCTTGAAAGGAAAGGGAACCACGTGGTCAAGAACTCGGAGGCGATTCTGAGTTCAGAGGGCTGGTACTGCACGAGAAACGGGTCGTCCTTTTTGACTCGCTCGAGATCGTTCATTGGGGTTGTCTGAGTCTAAACTCGGGGAATAGAGAGTGAGAGATTCGGAATTTGGGTGGTTGAATGCTGTGAGAAAAAGAAGCGAAAAAAATCAAATATGTGGGTTGATCGGGAATTGTGATTAAGAGCAAGATTTTCGTGAATATAGAGCCTAGGACGTAAATGTCATTTTAAAGATTCTTCAGGATATTTTTGATATTTTGTTTTACTGGATCTTGGGCTTGGATCCTTAGTTTGACCCAAATGTTTTAGATTATGGGCTTCACAATCGTGGATTGTTTCTTTTTGTGGCCCGAGACCAGTTTAATTTATTTAAAATATATTTTCTCAAGTAGTTGTACCAAAAATACAATTAAACACCAAGGGATAAAAGAAATATATTTTTATTTTTATTTTATTTAATTTAGAAAAAACAAGGATTTAGTTATGCTATGTAAGCATTTGAAAATACATATTAATATCAATAATATTAGTCAATAATTTCAAGCGATAATATAATTTAAAATTACTTAATTAAAGCTTTATTTATAGGTATTTTTACTTTTTATTTTTTAAAATAAATAAATAAATAAATACAAATAACAAAAAGAAAAATAAAGAATAAAAGCATCTATTCAAACAGAGCATAAAAAGCTTAAATGGAAACTGAGATAATTGTTTTTCCTTTTTTTAAAAATTTTCTTCAAATTCTCATAGTAATAATTTTCCCACATTAAAAAAAAAAAAAAAAAAAAACCCAAACCAATCTATAGCTATTAATAGTAGTCACCCAATTTTTAGTATTTATATACTGTTTTAAGAGGTAGCCATTTTGATGACATTTGTAATTTTTTCATTGGATATTCATAAGTTTTTTTTTTTTTTTAATTTTTAATAGCAAAGGTAACGAAATTAATTGTTTGGAGTTAGAAAAAAAAATTCAGTCAGAAGGTAGCTTTTGGATTCGAAATAGTATATATTAATATTTATAAATTATTTAAATTTAATTTAAATAAAACTTAAATTTAAATTAATTATTATTAAATTAAATTTGAATTAGAGTAATTTAAATAATCGATTTAATTAAATTTAAATATTTTTATATTTGATTTAAATAATTTTATAAAATTAATTAAATTTTTATTATTTTAATTAATAAAATATATCAAATTTAAATTGAAATTCAAACATAAATAATTAAATTTTATTAAATATAAAAATTAAATTTTTATTAAATATAAAAATTAAATTTATTTTTATATATTAATTAAATATAATCAAATAAATTTAAATAATTATCTCAAATTAAATTTAAATTAAAAAAATAAAAATTAAATAAATTTAAATCAAATTTTAAATCTCAAATTTAAAATGAAATTTAAACTCAGAACTATTGACGATCGATTACACCCTGCGACCTCTTAAAGAAATTATCAACCTGTGCAATCACTGTTCACCAAACCTCCTGATTTCATACCATTTGCCATCCATTGATTAGCAGAAAAATGAGGACATAATAATCTTTCTCAATTTTTAGATATTTTTGAAAAATTAATCATGACAAGACTAAAGCTTCTGCACACAGAAGCTTCTGGAATCGATTTCATTGTTGAAAAAGAAAATTGAAACTTTTGAAAAGCTTCTCTGGACAAACGGTAGCGATACGAAAAAAAAAAAAAGAAAAAGAAAAAAGTAAAGGGAATGGGAAAGGGAAGGGGAAGGGCACGACTAGAAGAGAGAAAGCCGACACAAGAAGGAGGGAATCGCCAACCGGAAGGACCAAATGGAGAGGCAACGAGAAATGGAGAGGTAGAGGGAGGAGAACGATGGGCCGACGGTAATAGCAACGGCTTCTGTTGAAGACCAAGAACAATTTAGTCTTTACTTTTCAAGTTTTTTCTCATTTAAGTTCTAACCTCAACACTGTCTTTCTAATATTAGAAAAAATTGAAAAATTATTTGAATTTTTGGTCTGATATGTGGTAAGAGGAAGAGATTTGAGTAAAAAAGCTTTGCTTTGCTTTGGTACATAGTTTTTCTGATTTGTTTTCATTTTTTGTTCTTTTTAGGGAGTTGCGTTTGTATTGAAATAATATTGGGTTTTCGGTGTGCAATTCAAAGGATTGGATTGACAATAATTATGGCGGTGGTAGGAGGTCTAATCAATTTTATTTTTTGTGTTCAATTGTAACAACACTGCAATTAAATTGATAAGAATTGAAACTTACTGTCATTTTGGCCTTGTCATTTGTTACAGGATTGACATTGAAGTAGGTAAAGGTCTTTGTATTGTGATTTTAAAAAGGAAGGAAAAGTGGCAATTATAACAACTTTGATCTAATTGATTATATGCTGCTGTTATTAATTTTAATTTTATATATTTTGTTGCTTAAAGACAAGTTGAGTACAATATTTGGTTAACCTATTTTGCTTACATATATTCAAATTGAAGTTGATTTTGATTTGCATTTTTATAAAAATATTATTTGCTTAAATCTATTTAAATGAAGTTTTATATATATTTTTCTTTAAATAAAACATGGATGTCCAGTTTCTATATATTTTTTGCTGTAAATAATGTGCAGGTGTTTTTGCATTTGTAGATTAATAGTTTGACCCCTTCTGCTGAAGCAATTGGATTTCTTTCTGCTGCACAGGTTTGAATTTGGCCCCTTTTTATACATGTTTGTTTGTAATTAAACCAAACAGCGGAAATAATGAGAAGTAGAATACTCAATTTTTTATTCATAGTATTATTTTTACCATAACTTTAAGTTCTTCATTTGAGTTTTTTCATTATGCTTCCATTGTGCCATGTCAGACATGACAGTAGCAATTTGTAATTTGGACATTAATTTGACAATAGTCATTAATATTTGGAAGCTCAAATTTGCCCACCATTTTTTCTTATAGAGCAAATCAGTGAGTGTTAGGTACAAGCTGTTGAGATGGGGCAACTTGAATCATATGGTGCTCTATGCAGACTTCATGAATCTCATGATTTAAACTATATATGTATGGGGTACTTGCTTGCCTACATTATTATAGCTCTCAATTTGATGTTTACACCAATCAATAATCTGTTGATACTTGAATATGAATGCACATGACTGAGAAGGTTGAACTGATTTCGTTAAATTGGTCCTCAGTAATTGTTAATTCTTGATCACAAATCATTACAGATCATTAATAATTTTTTGTTACTCTTGGTCTTGCTATATGGTGAATTTTATCCATTTTGGAAGCTGTTGATTTTTCTGGTATTTTAATTTTGCAGGGTCAGTTATGGTGCCAGATGGGTTAAGAAACCAATTGATTTCAAGAGCTAATATACAAAATATTATGATTATTGCTATAACAAATGGGAAAGGCTTGGAAACTATGACTTTTCCCTAAGCACCCAAAGTTAGAAAATGGTCGTCCCACATTTTTAAACAACTCTTATGTAGCGTGGAATTGTTGAGAGGCTTAATATCATCATAAAGGTGGGTGGGCCAAAGCTTTTTACATGTAATGATTTTCAATTTTCATAATTATTATTGCATTGGATCGTAACATTTTACATATTTGCATGGTTTTTGTTTTAGCAAACTTTACAGTGATCATCAGTTACTTAGTGTTGCAGAAATAATTGCTGATCTTCCCCTAGGTTCTATCATGGAATGTGAACTCCCATTTCATTGACTTTGTCCATGGTAGGTGCTACATTCTACCAAGGTTAATAGAAACTATGGGTGTTTATTCGACTAAGGTTAACAGAAACTATAGTTGTTTAATTTTTTTTTAATGTTATTTCTTCATGTTTTTATGCTATCATTCTTGCTTTGCAGTCTTGTTATATCTCTTTAAATACAACTTTCACATCTGTTTTTATAATTTCAATTTTTGTAACTCAAGTTCAGCAATCATATTTATTTCCAGGACTTTTTTTTTTTTTTGAATTTGTACTTTAGTAACAAGTTATTAATCTAGACTTCACCAATAGTTATCAGCTGAAGAATCCCTGCCAAAAATGTTAAAATTGAGGTATGGATTTTTTACTTAACTCTAATCCTGCTTCTAAGTGCATATTCCTTATTTCTTTTTTATTAGTTAGTTATTCTATTAATCATAATTATTTTCTCACTTCTAGCATTAGTGATTTTATTATGTATTATGCGATATTGCATTTTGTTGTAGAATCTAATGGTTAATTGAATGTCGTTTCATTTAAATATTTAAGTTAATATTAGATTTTAAATTATACTATTATCATACATTTGACATTAGATCCTTGCGACATTGTCGTGGGTTGCATTCTAGTAATAGCTTCATGTAAACCTTGATGACATGGCTCGAAATGATAGGGTATAAAAGTAAGGAGATTTGATAGCTCCCGCACAACATATCCACCCGAACGAAAACAAAAGGGATAACCATATCCGTGGCTCTGCTACTACAGAAAACACACACGAAAGCAAACAATGGATACCAGTATTCTGCAGTCCCTCGCATCAAAATCACCCCCATCAACCAACCCTGTTTGCCCCAAAGCTTCATCTTCAACAACATATATCCAGGTATGTTTACATCGTCGACCACGGTTAGTTAAAGTTTGTTGCATGAACAGCAGCACTGATAATAGTAGCAGCAGCAGCAGTGCAAGTGGTAGCAAGGCACCACCACCAATAGCGCCACCAAACATCATTGAAGTACGGTTTAAGAGGGGATCAAGGAGGCGTAGGCAGCTGCAGGAAGATGGTTTCGGCAAAGGGCAGCAACCTATGAAGGCAAAGGCTGCAGCTGATACAGCTCCAAAGAAATGGGAAGAAATAAGCATCACAGAGAAAGCTATAGCGTTTTATGTGGGAGAGAAGGGTTGGCTCTTCTGGCTCAACAAGTTTGCCTATGCTTCTATTTTCATTGTAATTAGGGCTTGGATATTTTTCCGGTTTGATGCACCAGCACTCAATCTTTACGAACTTGATTCTCCTCACTTTATCTCCAACCTCCATGTTCAAGGGTTCTTGATAGATACCACAATGCAATGTCTTAATATGGTTTTTACAGTCTGCAAAGAATTTGTAGCATCTAGTCTAGTGAATAATAATGAGAAAATTTAGTCATTGCCCCCATGATCCTCATCTCACAGCCTCACCTTCCCAATCCCCTCTTCCTCCCAACAAAACATTTTTCTATCACATACTACTGTTATGCTGAAAATTAATAACATTATTGGGATGGAAAGCGATACATTACACGTTTATAAAAACTAGCACCTGAAAAGATAAATGGCTCAAAACCATAAAAAACAGCTATCAGATACACAAAAAAACATAGAAAGCTGCCTTAGCGGTTAAATCAATGTCCAACCCGTTAGAAGTGTAAACAACTAAGGGTTTTACTACATGTGTATTAGCAGAGCAATCCTCGGAATCTTATTGAATGTCATATTTACTAGATGTGATACAGCATTTTAATGCAAAAAACTGGACAGCAATCTGATTGGATTTTAAATACAGTTCATAATAGTGTATCAACTAAGTCACAATCATTTTAGCATACTTCTTTGAAGTATACAATCAATTAGACGAAAGACAGCTAAAAATAGCACTCTAGAAGCAACCTAAATTAATCTCAGAGGTACTTCTGGAAATTAAAAATCAGTTGCAAGATCCAAAAAGATTAAAGGATTGAACAAAAAAAAAAAAAGAAAGATTTGATATCATTGCCATAAGTTGAGAAAAGATTAAAATATCATATATCCTCATAAATGAATCACTAATTTGTTCAAGATAAATGACAAGCATGTACATAAGCGGCAACTTGGTCCAAATTTACCCTTTTCCAAGAAGGGTTGGTGTTGCAGCTTGATAAGGAAAGGGATGGGTGCCTGCCAATTTGAAGCTACACCAGGGTTTAGACTGGGATAGGGAGGATATGTTACAAGTTAAGGTTGCTGGTGGCTCCTGCCATTTGGTCAAATCTGGAAAACTGCGGCTCACCATTACCTCGCAAACCCAGTAAGGGGGAATAAAGTAGTTCAGGAGTACATGCCACAACAGAAACTGATTCCTTACATGTCCTGAATTCAATCTTTTGTTATCCCAGCCATGTACAAATTCCTCAGATGCTAATCTCTTGGTTCCAAGTGCTTTATAACCCAAAAAAGGAAAATAAAAAGGATGCAGAGACCTGGTTACTGGTAATAGAACCGACCAGTAGATCAAATCTAGCATTAAAAGCAAAACAAAGAAAATGTTGCTTCACAGGCCAGAGTCAGAAGTACCTGGTGGTATGGATGCATTGCAATTTTTGCACTGCGAAAATACCAGACTAGATCAGAAATGTAACAAATGGTATGTTTTGTAGAATTTGATACAATCATGTAGAAGAATGTTGAATCCAGTTTAGGCAGTAAGATAAGACCTGTGACTGTGAAGAGTAATTATGGAAGCCACAGCTGCAAATCCAGTCACCATTTCGCCATCCCTTTAGTACAGAAAGAGCCTGATTACCAGAATTCACATATGGAATCCCAGGGGTTTGGTTTCCAGCTACAGGCCATGTAGAAGAAGCTAATTGAAGTCCATAATTATCAGCCCCACATACAGACCAGTTGGAACTCAAAGGAAGCGACTGTTAGAAAGCAACACTGCCCACAAATCCAACATTCATCTTTTGTTCCACTGCTCCTGGGGCCCTGGCAAAATAATGTGAATAAGTTGGGAGAGAAGCTCCAGGCATTGCAATTGCTGGCATTGCTGCTACCTCCTTTGGTTGCCCGCACTTTTTTCTTGATGCATAATTGTTGTTAGTGCAACCTATTGATCCATTGCCACACATATCCCAACCCACAATGCAGCCACGAAGAAGGCAAGGAAGCCAAGTATACGCATGCCAAAGTACACATACAAAAAACACAAACCACTCAACCTAATTGATACTGATTTCCTAACCCTAACTTCATAAAGCAGATATCAGTATATTCATTCAACAGGTTGCATTCATAAACAGACGACGGCAAAGGATTATGCTTTCCCAATGGCAACTTAGTCGACAAATGATATACAAACAGTTGCTTTATGGCAAATTAACAAAACTAATGCAGAAACAAGCTCAATAAAGCTCCCTCAAGTCATTGTTTAAAAAAAGCACATTGCAAATCTTTACTTGGGAAAAGTAATATCTTATCTTGACATGCCCTTTGTTCCATCTCAGCTAATGAAACCCCAACTTATTATCAAAACTCAGATCCAAGATAAACTCCAGAACCCAACCGTTATAAAAAAAAGAAAAACCCACCTTCGATATATATTCATAAGCTCAATAATTGAATTAAAACAGAAGAAGAAAAAGAATAAAAAGCAAAACCAGTTGAGTAAACACAGCCAAGAAGAGATAAGAAAAAACCATTACAAGAAAGGTTTTGGAGAGAAGTACAAACTGGCCAGTGCAGATCCAATCACCAATACGAGGAAGCCACTTGGAGTCAGCTGGAGTTTTAGTGTCAACAAGAAGAGGCTGCTTACAAATGTTACAGAAAGATCTAAAAGCGTAGTTCCAGTTCTTGCAACCGCTGCTTTCCCAGTCTCCTTCTCTCCCTTCTCCCTTCTCCCATTCCTCCCCTCTCTCTTTCTCTCGTACCCTTTCTTCGTTTGTTTATATGTAGCTGAAAGAATAGAAAGAGCTAGGACTAACGAGCTTGTTGCTTTGGAAGCTGAGGAAAAGGAGGGGATACCCAGTAGAAATTTGAAATTGCTGCAAATTATAGCGAAGCCTTCGTAGTCGGGATCGAGCGCATTCAATCAATACGGTGAAACAGAAAATTCTTTCTCAGACAGGGCCAAAACCAGAACAGAGATGAGGACCGACAGTCTAACCTGTCTTTGGTTTAAAGCCGATGTTGTAAGGTGGTGGTTTATGTGGGCTATATTTCGGTTTCAAGACTCTGACCCATCTCTTTTTTGGCCCAAGAAACTAGCTTCTTCTAAGAGAGTGGCTATTATCCTCAAATAAGGACGGACATTAGACATCTGACTAGAGCCTAGAGCGGCAAAATAAATCAAAATTTAGCTCAATATTCATTATGATATGGCGAAAAAATCAAGATTCCCGAGTTACAATAGTTTGCTCGCGCCTGGACTTTGCAGTCAATGTACATATTGAATGGTGAGGAGGTAAAAATAAAATTGGCTAATCCAGTGCAGTGCGCTCGGGATTAAGCCAAGGCTTGAGTGTTTTTATGATTCAGAAACGACACTCCAATTGATTATTGGCAGTAACATGGTTTAAGTTCAACGTATGTCAAATCTGCTTTGTGGGTATTGCTGTATCAGATAAAAAAAGACCGATCATTTGTCCAGAACTCCATGTTCTAGTCACTGTATAGTGGAAAACGCCGACCTTTCTTCTTCCATTTTTCTTCAAAGCAACAAAAAACATCCTTAATTAATGTTTAGTTTAGTTTAGTTGGAGACTGGAAAGTCGGAACTTCTCATTTAAAACTGTGAAGTTGAGGATTTGTGGTGTAAAGCATCAAAGCTTTGATGCACAAAGCATTTGCAAAGGCAAGATCATGAACTTGTTGGGGGCGTTTTTGGCTTCCTTTGCCCTGATCCGCAGCCCTCTCTACAAGTACCTGCCTGAAAGGCTGCGCTTATACATCTCTTCACGCTTTGAGGAGTGACGAGCCATTTCACTGCAGAGGAGACCATGGTGTTTCGAGACTATTAAAGCTCAAAGATGAACCAACTTTTTGAGGCTGCAAATCTTTACCTTGTAGAATCACTACCCACCATTTCAATCCGTCTCGTGACGGTAGAAAAGACTGAGAACGTGAGGAATCTTACATTTTCTATGGAGAAGAACTCTGAAATCATTGATGTCTTTGAAAATGTACCAATGAAATGGAAGTACTTCTCTGAATATAGCCAAGGAAGGTCGAAGCACGAGATCAGATGGTATGAGCTTTCATTTCACAAAGGTTGCAAGGACATGGTCACCAGGTCTTATTTGCCACACATCCTGGAAAGAGCCAACAGGATCAACGAGAGAAACCGGGTGGTGAAGCTCCACGTGGCTGCTCATGATTTTTGGACTCCAAAACCTATGATAATTCAGCATCCCATGACGTTTGAGACCTTGGCTATGAATGGTGATCTCAAGAAGATACTTGTGGAGGATCTCGACAGGTTCATGAATAGTAAGGAATACTACAAACAGATTGGCAAAGTATGGAAGGGTACTTGCTTTATGGGCCTCCAGGCACCGGAAAGTCTAGCTTGATTGCTGCTATGGCTAATCATCTAAATTTGATATCTATAATTTGAATCTCTCAGCTGTATCCTCAGATTTTGTTCTACAGAATTTGTTACTTAGCATGGCCCATCGTTCCATTCTTGTGATAGAAGATTTAGACTGCTCTATTAAGCTGCAGAACAGAGAATCAGGGATAGAGCAACCTATAAAGTTTCAGCAGCCGAACAAGGTTAGTCTTTGAGATAATGCAAATTATGCAATCATAATACAATTTTACATAACCAAAATAAGCTTGGACTTTTATTGGCCAAAAAATATATAAATTTGGACTTTACTGGATATTGATGTTTATGGGGTAGAATAATGGTCTTGAACTGGAAATGGGGCTAACAATATGTACAATTCTGAAATCTGAATTAACTTGATATCAAGTTTCATGATGGTATTCCGTGGTGAATTCATTGAAATTGGGGTTATTAAAAGGTCAATGTTCTTAAAGAGCTCAACTTCTTTAGATTTGTTTTATTGGTTCACATGAACATATGCTTGCTCTAGCCTCTATATTATGGATCCAAGGGTACGATTTGAATTTCCTGGTTAAAGAAATGAAAAAACCTTTTCTGAATTTCCTGGTTACATTTCTTTGATTTTTAATCAGGAAGGAATATAATAATATATGCAGTCCAGGAGCGATTGATTTATAGCTCCAAATTTTAATTTTAGCTATGTCCAATGATTGTCCATCTTTCATGTCATCCTCACAGGTGACGCTTTCTGGACTTTTGAACTTCTTTGATGGTATTCTATCCTGCTGTGGGGAGGGAAAGATTCTGGTCGCTACTAGCAATTTCAAAGATCGGATTGACCCTGCATTACTTCGAGCTGGTCGCATGGACATGCACATCTACCTCACCTGCACTTTCTCAGCCTTCAAGCAACTTGCTTTGAAGTATTTGGAGATTTCTGATCACAGTCTCTTTCATCAAATTGAAAAGCTTCTACCAGAGGTTAAAGTTTCCCCCGCAGAAGTTGCTGGTGAACTGATGAAGACTAGGGATCCTAAGGCTTCTCTCGAGGGTCTTATCAAGCATCTTAAGGTAAAGGTAAATACGAACATTAGTTTAGGAAATTCGTAGTTCTATTTAGACTCAGTCCCTTCTGAACTGCTTTTCATTGTGACTTATTTTGGTTTACTGCTTGATGAATGCAAATTACTCTGAAAGAACATGGCTTCTATGCTCTTAATGTCACATGCTATCTCCCTCATGTTCAATGTGGTTGATTGGGTGTTTTCTGCAGTTGCTTGCAGATGGCAATTCTGAAGTTAGTTCCGGGCATCTTTCATCTTATTCTCGTCCATCAAATTGCCAGGTCCAGGAATCCTCAATTTCTCTTCGTTTACCATCCAATGAAACTAGTATGGACAATATAAAGTCTCCAGGTCGCAACCCTGATGTTTCAGCCGATAAACAGGGGGCCACAACAGAGTCAAATGTAACTGAGAATAGACTGGAAGACGAAGGTAGCAACAACTTTGACAAGAAGGATTTGATCCAGGGCCAATCTTCTGGGCATAATATCCTAGAGGTCATTGAAGACATGGAGAAGGTGCTGCTGAAACAAAAAGAAGCGATAATGGTACTGCAAGAGAAATCCAGTCTGACTCTGAATAAACTAGCCAAAATTAAGGCCAAAATATAAGAACCTCGGTAAATATCTCACAGATTCTAAGGCCAATTTGGAGATCTTTTTGGTCAAATATTAAATGGGTTGCATTATCAAAATACTCTCTTTTTCATTAACTGAAGATTTTCGCTGACAATTTAATCGAAAGGGGGATCTCATAATGACACTTTGATGACTCACAAATCCACTTCCTTGTCTATATAGAGCATGCTTTTTTGCTCTTTTTTTCCCCTTTTTTATTTTTTATTTTTTATTTTTGACATTGTTAGTGAGTTGGCATTACTTTTGATTTGTCCCATTTATTTCTTTGTAGTTTTTTGGATAGGTTTAGCATCTGCCTAGGAATTTTTTTTAAAGGAGACTGTAATCTAAAAATAGGTTGCAAGTGTTGATATGAATCTCAAAAGTATTAAATATCATTTTTAAAGATAACTATACGAACCAACAGATCTAATTTCCAGTTCTGCCTTGGAACTCTTGCTCTGAAATTTCTCATTTTTAGGGCTTTTAAACTTTCCTTTTTAGGGGGAGGACAAATTGGAGCAGAAATGAACAGCTCTTCATCAACTGGTGGTGAATGAAACAAATCCCCCTTCATAGAGCTGCCAAAACCACGGCCACCAACTGTAATTGCAAATATAGATTAGATGCAGTGCCGTTTGGCTCTACAAATGGGATAGATACCTCTTCATGGATCAGGCAGCCTCTTCATCTGTCTTTTCTAGTGTAGCTGGTTTAGTGGTTTACTGTTTTATTAGGCATGATAATGGCATCTTTTAATTAAAATAAACATCACATTATTTAATTCCAAAAACTTCAGTTTCATCATTTAGCCACGTCCAGAGTCAAGTCCATATCTATATATTAAGCAAGAAACTTTTATTCATTTTGTCTTTTGCCTAAGTGATAAAAGATTAAATTAATGAACTCTGAATTTGAACTTTCCTCTTTTTCATTGTATTAAAGCTTCCTCCCCTTAACTGTACTAAAGCTTCCTCTGCTTAATTGATTCCACTGTATTATATTATAACTCTAGGGCTTTTAGTACAAAAATGGGAGGCTCGTGGCTACAAAGTGACTCCCTGCAGGAACATTGCAACGTTTTCACGCCACACACATCTGGATCACCTCCTACCGCACCTACATTGGGGTTCACCCAGCCTCACACAGGTTTTATCATTCATCAAACCTTGTAAATTCAATTTCCGGCGTGAATCAAAGGTATTGACAAACGTCAAAAGCAAGATAAAGAAACTTCATAAAGAAAATTAAAGATAGGGACAATGTAGACACCTCATTTTATCTTATCTGAGATTTATTCATTTTTATTTTATTTATAGTTTTTTTTTAGTTTAATAAAAAGATGTTTTGTCATGAGAAAAAGGGATTTTATTAGAATTAGAGTTGAATTCATTTTGTAGAGAATAAATTCTAGTTTCATGATAATACAAAAATCTGATCAAAGATGGAATCACAATCAATTAAAAACTCCTCTAAGTGTTCCTATAAATTAACTTATAAATCAACAGATGGATTATTAAAGAAAAAATTCTAGAAAAATAACACAAGAGATCAACAGAACAAAATAGAAAAAAATTAGAGGCAAAAAATACAGAAAGCAATCAAGTCCAAATTCCTTTTAGAAAAAAAGCTTCTGGCATAGTTTCGGATTTAGTTTTGGAAGAGTTGGATTTGGTTTTTTGGAGGTCCAATTAGTGATTTTTGAGGAGTTTTACAAAATTGGAAAATTCTGAAAATTTCTAAAAATTTTGAATTTTCTTGTGAAGAATTCTAGATTCTAGCTAGTTTTCGGCAAGAAACTAAGATTCTCGCAACCTTTTGGTGACCATTCCTAGTATCCATTGATCAAGCCTAGGTTTTAGCAAAACTTTCAGTGAAACTTTATAGATTCTGGCATCGTTTTTTAAAATTCGGTGAAGTTTCAATTAGAGTTGATCTCTTTTTTAGAGAGAGAACGGAGAAAAAGTGAAGAGAGAGAAGGTGCATGAGGATTTTGAGGAAAAAACAAAATTTGGGATTTTATACCCCACTGCAACTATGTCGTTTTCACATTTAATTCTATCTAGGATCCGTGTGTCTGCAAATGGGTGATTCGACCTACGCTGTTCAACCCACTTTTGACCCGCTCATAGCCTTTTTAGCTCAATCGAGTTGAGCCACCACTCTGGGCCGTTTTAGCCACTTTTCCTTCCTACAACCAAACCACACGCACCATATGAGTCGAGTTAAGCCAGTTCTTATTTTGGTATTT